TTTTTTTTTTTTTTGGAAAAAAAAAAAAAAAAAAAAAAAAAAAAAAAAAAAAAAAAGTCCCATAATCTCCCATTCAAGACCTTCCACGCCAGAGTACCAAGGAGGTAGACTGCGAAGACAGAACTGCAAGGTGTCTGATAGATGGGGGCTTTGACCACAGGGTTCTCTTCTTACGAAATTCTTCATGGGAAGTCTGATGTGTGTTGCATGTCCAAGTCAGAAGTTGAACGCACTTGGAAGGCAAGGTCAATCCTATGGGGAACGCCGTGGAAAGAACCCAGCAGAAGACTCAATTAAATGTACAGGTCAAAGGAATACATGCACGGTACACCCAGCTCACAAGACAGACAGAGAATCAACTTGCACAGCAGTTGGGAGACATACATAAGATGCTTCCCCACTCAACCACCCACAGACGAAGACGAAGACGATGACGATGACAACAACGATGACGAAGACGATGAAAACGACGAAGACGAAGACGAAGACGAAGACGAAGACGAAGACGAAGACGAAGACGAAGACGAAGACGAAGACGAAGACAACGAAGAAGAAGAAGAAGAAGAAGAAGAAGAAGAAGAAGAAGAAGAAGAAGAAGAAGCAACAAGCCTAGCTCAGTTGGTACCCCCACGAACTGTTAAAATACAGACCCAAATTCGAATCCAGATACAATCAGATGACCAGAAGTTCCAGAACAAAATAACGCTGAATTACCTGGGGCCGGTCAGCTCAATGATGATATTTCAAGGGCATCACCTTTAAACGAAGAAGAAGAAGAAGAAAAGGAGGAGGAGGGAGGAATAAGAAGAAAGGCGACTACTCTAGCCTGTCGAGTACCGTGTTGAACTACTCAGTTGAACTACACAGGGTCTCTTCGTGTGACCCAGGATCTGGCCAGCTCGCCCTTATAGTTCTGGACTCGCCTACCTCCCTCCCAACCAGAGGAAATAGTGCTGTGTCCAAGAAGCAGATGTTTTCTGCGCAAAGACAGTCAGGGCAGAGACTGTGCAATCAAGAATACTTCACCAGCTGCAAGATGTCAGACAAAACGGACTGGTCCTTTGTATAACCACCACATATCACTAAGCAAGTGAGATTCTTCATGAAAATGGGTGAACTCAGGCACTGAATGCGCCATGGGACCACATGGGTGGGTGCCTGAAAAATTTGCACTGTCCTTTGCGCGCAAAAAAAAACAAAAAATCTCACGTGGTTCATGGCTGCAGCTTCGAGCATGCCTACTCCGCCGTGCAGCTGCAGGAGGACAGCTCGCACCCATAAAGAACTCTCAGCATGCCAAATATAGTGAGCCAGGTTATCACCATATAACCATGAACAGGAGTGCCCAATCTGCAGGCCAAATGGAGTCTATGGACCCACAGCAATTCCCGGCCTAACCTGAGTGTCTCACAGAGAATCCTCAGAAAAATGGGTTCCAATACCGCCACCCAAAAGTTGCCTCCTATCACCATCAACGGCAAAACAGAGCAAGAGTCGTGCTACCTCTGGTCTAGATTTGAAGAGAGGTTGTGAGCGCCCTTGAGGTAGTTTCTTAGTTCTGATACTTCGATCCAATTGCTTGCATCCTCATCCCAAATGTGACTGACTTTCCATATCCCTCAAACTCCCGACGACCCATTTCAACCAGCAAGGGTCTTTTCGGGTGAGTGTCCGGCGGTGGTTCACTCTATCCTAAATCCACGGATTACCGAAAAGAGGTTTTCCGAGAACTTCCTTTTCTGGTTTGGTTTGTGAGTCTTTTGAGGAAATCTCTCTCTCCATCTTTTGATGGGGTAGGATTCTGTAGGAACTAGGTTCTCTGATGGGGAGGAGATCCCCGGCCTCCTTTTGCCTGTTTTGGGTTCCCGTTCCTTATTCATTACCCATAATAGACCTGACATGTTTGAAGGGTAGGGTATTAGGGCCTCCTTTTGCCTGGTTTGAGATTCTGAGGCTTATTCATTACCCAGAATAGACCATTCGGATTCATTCCTGTTTCAAACCCTAGCTGTTATATGTCCGGTTGGGCGATGTACATAGAAACCGAGGATCCGCAATGTGATACAAAGGACGGAATGGACAATGCAGTGCAAGTGGAATCTCAACAAGCAATGTGCATTCTGATACATACAAATGGTGCTGAATAGCGCAGTGGAAGACTTCGATACAAGTCCTGACCTGACCGGGACTGACCTCATCCACGTAGCAAAAGATAGCGAAGCAGAATGCTAGAATACTCATGACTAACCCAATCAATGTTTGAACGCAGACCAAACATACATCGTGTCCATCACAAAGTGTGAAGGAGCCTGGCGCTGTACATAGGAAGGAAGCGCCAGGTCCAGACATACACAGACGAAGAGGAGGGGATCAGACGAAGAGGAGAGGGAGAGATGGGAATGTCGYCAACACCAAGTCTTTGTCACAAGTCCCAAATAATCCCTCGTTGCAATGTCTGAAGTCCAAAAGTCGAGTCTGGATCCAATGTCACCAAGCTCTTTCTCTCTTCTCTCGTAGTCTGCAGATGCAGTGAAGTCAGATGATGAGAGGGGGAGAGGGAGATGGTGGACTGAGAAGAGGAAGAAGAAGAACTCTCTCTCTCTCTGTTACAAGCCAGGTACTAACCTGTGAAGTTGGCGCTGTGCTGCAGGTACCTTGAAGACGAAGCTGGAGCAACGGCGCTGCAGGTAAGTACCTCTGGCCTCCGCCCAGTCTCTCTCTCTCTCTAGTACTATTCTARCTATGGCGCCCAGCGCTGGAGACTACAGCTACCTACTGCGCCCAGCGCTGAAGACTAAGGCTAACGCTACTAYTACTCCTGCAGCGCTCCCTCCAGAGTGCTGMGGCCGAATCCTGAAGACTACTGCCTCCTGCCTGAACTGCACGTGAAGTGCCTGGCCAGTCCTTATGAACTACCTCCTGCCTGTAGGGCGGGCCAGTCTTATATRGTGCTGGCCCGTCCAGGAGGCTGCTCTTGCCAATGCCCAAACGTGCTAGACCCTGAGGAAGCTTCCGGGAAGTTCCCAGGTAGCTGCTGGCTAAAGGCTGAGGAAGCTTCCGGGAAGTTTCCAGGTAGATTCTGGCTAAAGCCTGAGGGACTATAGGGCCCTTGTTTTCAGGCTGTCAGGCTGAAACGACACGGGGTCTGTAGGCCCTGGTTTTCAGGCTGTCAGGCTGAAATAGACACGGGGCCTGTAGGCCCTGGTTTTCAGGCTGTCAGGCTGAAACAGCCACGCGGCCTGTAGGGCCTGGTTTCAGGCTATCGGGCTGAAACTGACACGGGGCCTGTAGGCCCTGGTTTTCAGGCTTTCAGGCTGAAACTGACACGGGGCCTGTAAGCCTTCGTTTTCAGGCTTTCAGGCTGAAAATGGCACAGGCCTGAAAAATGGCCCGTGCAGCCTGTTGCAGGCGCAGCATGTAACACCCCCCCATCCTTATGAAGTCAAGCCGGGCCGGGGGCGAAGCTGACGGTCTGAAGGTGGAACAGGAACGCGGGTGCGGCGTGGAGCCGAAGATACCGGCTTGCCTTGCATCTTGCGTTCGTAGCGTGCGAGAACGTCTGGAGCTGTCGTTTGCAGTTCCGCACGGGTCAACCAACGGTCAGCTCTGTGGCTGCAGTATGCAAAATGGACCAGATACTCAGTCGGCCTGTTGCCGTAGTGGCGCTGGGAAATAATATCGCTGACCTCTTGAAAACCGTCCATAGAGGGTGGGTCTTGTGATCGTCGCCCGGGAAAATCGTCATGGTCTGCTGGCGTGTACAGAGCCAGCTTGGAGCAATGAAAGACCGAGTAGACGGGCAAGTGGGCGGGCACCTAAATGGTGAAGGAAGGTCCTTCAGGTGCATCTCCAGCGGGTGCCACGATCGACCAGGGCCCCATCCATTTTGGGAGGAGCTTGCGAGAGATGTCTTGTTCAAGGCTGAATTCCGCTGCGGAAACCCAGACGAGGTCACCGAAGCGGAATGGGCAAGGAAGACGCTGGCGATTGGCCTGCTGGCTCATGCTCTGCTGCGTCTTAGCCATCTGGTCGCGTGCCTTGACAAGAAGTTCTTGCATCCGACGCAAAAAAAGAAGATGGTTGTCGCTTTCGGCCGTTCGTGGAGTGATAGTGTCCAATGGTGAAGTGACCGGCGAGCCGTGCTCAAACTCGAAAGGCGACATCCCAATAGCCGGGTGGATAGAGGAGTTGTAGGCCAACTCGACATCCGGCAGCCACTCAACCCAATCTTTCTGGTCGGGACGGATGAGAGTGCGAAGGGAAACCTGTGCGGTTTGGTGCGCCCTCTCCGTCTGTCCACCGGTCTGGGGGTGGCGAGCTGAAATGGGCTTGAGAGATGAGCCCCATCGCTTGATGAGCGCCAACCAAAAATCGGACATGAACCGAGTGTCACGGTCGCAGACGATCTCCTTGGGGTAACCCTTGGTTTGAATCCAAGCGGCGTACAAAACCTCGGCCAACTCCGGTGCCTTGGCATGATAGCGACAAGGCAAAAACATGGCAAACTTGGTGAGTCGGTCGACCACTGTGAGAATCCCATCCACACCGGTCTTGTGCTTGGGGAACGGCCCTGTGATGTCCATGGCAATCGCTTCCCTTTGGCGCAAGGGGACCGGTAATGGTCGCAATTCGCCGTGCGGACGGTGATTGCGGGATTTGCAGCGTCTGCAAACCTTGCATGACTCGCAATAGCGTGTGACGTCGCCGAGAAGGCCGGGCCACCAAAAACGCTCGCGAAGTCGGCCAATCGTGCGATTGACTCCAAAATGTCCGGTGGCGGGTGCATCATGGAACTCTCCAAGAAGTCGTGTACGCTCGGCACACAAAGAAGGTCCTTCCCTCGCGAGTGGACAAGCAAGTATCCCTCTTGGATCCAGTAATGTGAAGGCGCCGGATTTGGAGAGGAGCAATTCGCATACTTGTCGCGAAACTCGGGGTCGGCTTGGTAGCCGCGGACGAAATTGTTCCGCAGGTCGTCGTCAATCTCAAAGGTCGAGTAGACTGCGGTGCAATGATCCGGACGCCGTGAAAGAGCATCCGCAAAACAGTTTGACTTCCCAGGGATGTGATCCGGAAAGAAGTCAAATTGGTCGATGAAAGCCATCCAACAGACGATGGTGCTGTTGACTGTGTCTTGGGTCTTGTAGAAGACCAACGGATTGTTGTCCGTCACCCATCGGAATTTTGACTTCGACCAAGGAGGAAGTGCCGCCACCGCTTGAGATCGTGGACGAAGGCGAGAAGTTCCTTCTTGCGTGCATCATCAATGGAATGCACAGCGGGCACTTTCTTGCTGAAATACTCGACCGGGTGCCAGTCCACTCCATCGTGTTGCTCGAGGACAGCACCAATGCCATAGCCGGACGCATCAGTAGTGACGTGTGTGGGCAACAGCGGGTCGTAGATACGCAAGACCTCCGCGGAGAGCAATGCGACCTTGAGGGCCAAAAGTGATTCCCGCGCATCCTCACCAAAGTCGAACGGCCGGTCCTCGCATTGAAGCTTGGTCAAATGAGCCGCGATCTTCGAATAGCCCTTGATGAAGCGCTGGTAGTAGCCGGCAAGGCCAAGAAACAAACGGATATGCGTGACGTTCCGTGGCTCCGGCCACTCCTGGATGGCCTGAATCTTGTCCGAAAGCGGACTGATGCCCTCTGGTGTAACAAAATGGCCCAAGTACTCAAGCTCTTGTCGGACGAATTCACACTTCTCCCGGTTGGCTTTGTACTTGGCACGGCAGAGTGTCTCCAACACACGTCGGAGATGCCCAAGATGATCCTCCAAGGTCCAGCTGTAGACGAGAATGTCATCTAGGTAGACCAGCACGAATCGGTCCAACATCGCACGAAACTCGTTGGTCATCGCCGCCTGGAAGGTCGTCGGGGCGTTGGTGAGGCCAAAAGGCATGACCGCCCACTCAAAATGCCCATACCACGTCTTGAATGCGGATTTGTAACAATCATTCGGGCATATCGAAAGCTGATGATACCCCGACTTCAAGTCCAACTTGGAAAAAAACTTGGCACCGCCCAGCCGCTCCAGAAGATCGTCGATAAGAGGAAGAGGCCCCGCATTCTTGACGGTTTGTGTGTTGAGCTTGCGGTAATCGATACACAGACGCAGATCCTTGTTCTTCTTCCGTACGAAGAGAACTGGTGCTCCATACGGGGAGCTGGTAGGGCGGATCCAGCCCTTGGCCAATAAGTTGTTGAGTTGTGCGCGGAGGACCTCTAGCTCCTCCTCGCTCATCCGATAGATGCAACCTTTCGGTGGCACAACACCGGCCTCAAGGACGATCTCATGAGAGATCGGTCGATCCAGCACCACACCGGTAGGTTCCTCGAAGATGTCGGCGAACTCGTCCAGCAACCGCACCACACGGGGTTCCGAAGATAAGTCCGTGGGTGAAGAGTCGGCTACCGCGACGGTCTGTAGGAAACATAGGCCGATTTCCTCGGGCTGCTCATAAGCGCAAGTCGCTTGGAATGATTTGGCCGTCACCACTTGGCACCGGATCGAAGGGTGCGGTAGAGGAATAGTACACGCCACTTCCGCGCCGAAGGCGTCACGAACGCTGAGAGTCCGCCTATGGAAGTTGACCATGTGATCCACACTTGCAAGCCAAGGCATTCCCAGAATGATGTCGAAGTCCGTGTCGAGAATATCGAACGTCACCGGTTCGCATGCATGAGGTGCAAAATAAACCGGTACGGCCTCGATGTAACGGTCGAGAAGTTGCTGCGTTTTTCCATCCGCCAACTTGATCGTCGTCGGGTTTGCCTTCCTTCGAACTTGTGTGCCCAGGCCAGCCCTTTGCATAAAGGCTTGGCTCATGAAGTTGCGAGACGCGCCGCTATCCAGCAAAGCGCTGCAGGACGCTTGCCCAACCTGGATGCGGACATACATCAGCGGTGTGTTGTTGTCATCGTACCGCTGCGTGCGAAACTCGCGGGCCACCGTGGTAACATACGCCAAGATGTCCCCCACCACAACTGCGTGATCCGTCCGCGAAGTTGGTGGTGCATAGAAGGACAAGTACTTGTGAAGATGAGCGCAGAGTGTTGCGCATTGCGGTCCCGGCAAGCAACCCGTGGTTGGGAGAGGAAGCCATGCGAAATCCTCAGACGTGAGCGGGTCCAATACCTCTATGTTGAACTCGCGCGCCGAATCCCGTGAAGAACCACCTGAAGACGATAAAGAGTTGCTGCTGGACGGAAAAGATACCGCACACACGTCTTGTCCTTGAGCAAAAGTACCCAGCGTAGGAACGAGCCGGGAAGCATAGTCCTCAAAAGAGTAAAGAAGAGGACTATCGACTTCCGCGTGTGCTTCGGAATGAAGGCCGGTCACTCACGAAGAGACCGATTCCGAAGACGTCGAGAGTGTCATCGAGTCACTCTCGGCGGTGCTCAGTTTCCCTGTTTGCCCTTGCCTTTCGACGGGCAGCCCAATGTCTTGTGGAGATCGTTGTTGCACCACAGGCAATAGCGGTATTTTGTGCGTTGCCTGTAGGCGGACTCCGAGAGACCAAATTGGGACCATGGGGCTGGAGCTGCTGCGCCGGGTCCGGGGATCAATGTGGTGTTCGTCTTCCCTCTGCCGCGTCCTCGGCCTCTGCCGGCGCGGCCACCATCCCGGGCGGCTGCGAATCTGTCTCCTTCATTGGCAGATACGGCCTCGCTGTAAGATTGGTCGGGTGGCATTGCTGCCGCGACCACGGCCACCTTGTGCCGATGCTGGTCCCTGCTCGGGCCTGCCGCAGACGAACGGCCGAGGTTCTTGGCCTCCTTGTTTGTGACAATAATCTGCGCGTCAAAGAGTTTTGTCGTCGTCGTCAAGGTCTCATCAACGTGAGTCAACACGTTGCTTAACGTCGGGGACGACCTCGAGATGAAGTAGTGCTTGATGGCCTTGAAGCCCATCTGCAGATCTGGGACGGACGTCGAGCGTTGGTACTCGGCGATCCAGTCGACACTCGGCAGCGTGCCTTGCTCGAATTTGAGCAATTTATCCATGGCTTTGATCTCCGGCGGCTCCACTTGGAACCGCTTGTGCCATGCTGCCTTGAGGTTTTCTCAGCTGATCTTGGTATGCAGGTCTGCAGCGACCACGCCGTACTTGGACAACAGATTGTCCAACCATGCCTGGCATGCGCCCCCTGACCGGGAGTACAGGTATGCGTGGTTCTTATGTTCGCTGACATGATGGATCTGCAACGTCAATTCAAACTTGCGAAACCATGGAATTGGTTCCGTCTTGGACGAATCGAGGAAGATTGCCTGGCCGTCCCACTTTGGGGTCGACTCACGTTCTGCGGAACTTGGATTGGCGGCCGCAGTGCAGATCCGCTGTTCCAATTGCTGGACGGTGGTGTGCTGTATCTGCATGCCATCCTTGACTGTCCCCATGTCGATCTCCAAGGCATTGAGACGGTCCGAAGTGTTGGAGGAGCCGGCGGCGGGGGCGGCGACTGCTTGTTGCAGCTGCTGAAAACGGCTGTTAAGGCTATCGAACGCCCGTTTGTGATGCTGCACCGAGTTGTCGAGGTTATGGATGTCCTTCTGCTGTGCAACGCACGTGGCCAGGAGGTCTGTGAGATGAGAGAGGAGTAGAGCAATCTTGCTTTCACTCTCCTCCATCTTCCCAGTCTCGGCCTCAGTCCGCCAGTCCGCGGCCATTGCGAGCAAGGCTCGCTCTCCCTTGAAAATCTTCTCTCGTCGCTGTATTCTTTCTTCATCGGCAGCCTTAGCTGCTGCCTCGGCCTGCAGGCGCTGTTGTTCTACTGCCAACAGACGTGCCTGTTCGGCGTCCTCTGCCTTCTTCCTGGCTGTAGCAGCGACCGCATCCGATCGTTGCTTAGCCTCGGTAATCATAGCCAGCATCCGGATCTGGTAGTCCGCGTCCGTTTTTCCTGGCTTCTGGTCCATGGGGGTTGTTTGCGAGCGCGTGAGCATGAACCAGCCCGGAGAGCTGCTGACGTGGCACCCCTTGCTGCCGTGGCACTGTTTGGCTGCTGACGTGTCACTGCTGATGTGGCACTGCCCGGCTGCTGATGTGTCACTGGCCGGCTGCTGATGTGTCACTGCTGACGTGGCACGGCTGACGTGGCACTGCCCGTCTGCTGACGTGTCACTGCTGACGTGGCAACTTACCAATGCCGCAGTAGTGGTACCCGGATGAAAGAATAAGATCAGAGGTGGCAACAACATAGGTGGGGAGGGGTGGGTGGGATAAATCGCCCAGATAAGGAGCAACTAATCAAAAACAAAAATTGTTCAGTAGGTCTCCCAACCTCCCTTGAAGTACGAAATATAAATTACAGAAAGATTTCGACTTCAGACTGCAAATGATTTATAGAACTGACTAATAGGATCCTAGAACTGCGAAAAAAAAATTCCGAGAAGAAATGACAATCATTCGGATTTACTCAGATGAGAATATTCCCAGTTTGGAAAATAATACCTGCAGGCAGGATTTCCCGTACCGTTTTCAGAAAAACAAATTTCGAAAAAAAAAGATATTCCAAATTTTTAAGTAACGGGAAATGCGAGTCCGGTTCAACCTCATAATCGTTAGATGGATCGTAATACGGAAATCAATCCATCAGACTGCTTGAAGCGCCACGCGTCACCCCCCCATAAACGAGAGTTTGGGAGGGAAAATGTAATCGAGTTTTTTATGAATATGAAAATTAAGAAAGAACTTCCAACAAGGTAGGTCTTTTTTGCGCTAGCGCCGCTGGTTAGCGCTACCGTCCGGCGCCACCACGCTACCGCCCTTCGCGAAGGCCGAGCCCTACCAGGCGCGCCTTCGCGAAACGCGCGGCAAGCCGAACGCGCGAATTCCAGCACGCAAATTTTCGAATCCGACCAAGTGGGAGTAAAGCAAGCCACGCCCTCGGGCGTGGCGACAAGGAATCCATAGCCATCATTTCCATCCTCAAAAGAGACAAGAAGGAGACGTGGCAGGATTGCAAGAATAGCAAAGGTGGGGTACAGTCAAGGGAGGCATTGAGGATCTTGCAAAAGGACAACGGTGAGGGGGAGAAGAACATGAAAAGAAGTCGACCTCCTCCACACATTCGAGGGAAGAGAGCGAGGAAGCAAGAAGAAGTCGAGAAGAGAAGAGACAAAACACAGCAATCGGAAGCCCACAATTAGTAAAACCGGGAGGACAGCAATAAGGCCGATAGGACTGCAAACAAGAGGTCAGACATGGTTTCCACTCCCTGCGTGGCTACTCGAGCTCCTTCCCGCGCGCGGGCAGGCGCACACCTATCCCTAATCGAAGAGGGACCGCCAGGTCGAAAAGAGAAGAGGAGACAAGATCAAGCGACACGGCACGCCACCGGACGTGGCCAGACCTAAAGGAGGAAAGAGACAAGAGAGAAGAGAGAGGGAGGAGAAAAGGCGGTAGGAGCTTCACGAATAGGTAGAAGGAGAAGCGACAGAGAAACAGGCAGGCAAACAATCCCACACAACACAAGCTCAGATCTTCACACCCAGGCTTGTCAGGTAAGCTCTCGTCGCCCACATCTGAGACCAACAGCCAGAACGGTGTCCTTGCAGGTTCGGAGCAGCGATCTTCACAGGGAAACAAGCGACAGCTAGGACAAACTTTTTTCTCCGCAGAGGAAATTTTAACTACCAAAAACCACGACAGAAATCTCCTCTCGACAGACACGACCCCCTTCCCCACCACTACACACTTTCCCAATCGCAGCTCTCCCATTTACCTCCCACCGCAATTCCCCACCCCACCTCCCTTCGCATCCACTATAACTTCCCCCGGCCCCAGATCGACAATCCACCTACCACCAAAACATCCTACAGACCGTCCTCTCCCCGACCCTTCTCACCAATCACCCTCACCTTTCCCCAACCCCCCATTCCCGACCCAAGCCCTCCCTCTACACCCCTCCACCTCCCACGAAACACCTCATCACACCCCGATTACAGAGACCGTGCGGCAATCACTCACATTCCCRTCACCAACAAACCCCAAACAGTACCYCACTCTCCTTCCACCCAACCCTCTTTCAAYCCTCCCCTCTCCCCCCACCCTCTCGGACCCGCACGTAAGCTACTAGCATCACAAGACACTACCCGATCGCTCTCACACTCACCATTAATCTTATTATTCGGACACAGTAATTGCTTTTACAACAACCAAGTCAATTCATTCAATCCATTATTACTATCATTATCGTGTATTAAAACAATTAACAATTATAAAGACCAACAGCATCATCAACAATAATTATCATTAAGACACCACAGATCCATTAACGCACTTTCAATAATATCTATATATT